TTAGACACAAATACTATAACTTCTTATGTTTTCTTTCAGTTCCTTCAGCCAAACATAAATCATTTATTGTCTAAACATTATTATCTTAAGGAATAATGACAACAACGACTACATAGGAGTGACCAATACTGGACAAAGCGTTTATTAAACGTACATAAACTCAAACGCACATTAGTTTCATGGTTAAAAAAATCACCACGAAGAATGAGTGGTAAATGTGTCCGTGCACTTATACATAAACAGATTGGAAAAAAACACATGTCTCGCTTAATGCGATAACATTCGCTTAATGCGATAACAGTTCATGAAACCTCTACACACATACTGCACAATCACGCGTTAATACTGTCACACTTGTAACAACAGATAATTGTTTATCTGAAACCACGGATTTATATTAAATAAGTAATATAAATCCGTGCTGAAACAGATAATCATATTGTAATCAACAAATTTAAATTAATATCATATGGGATTCATTAACTTTATAAGCTGAAAAGAACACCGTAAACGAGCAAATACATATATGGGTCGGGTGGGTGGGACTTGATGGATGTTAACAATTGCCCAGTATTGCGTCGAATGACCAATATACCTATAACACTGGTTTACGTATACAGTCAGTACATGGCTCACTGACCATAACCATATAAGGTAAAAATCGGAAAACGTACGAATATTAACGAACAAAAATAAATATATATAGTATTTACAAGAAAAGAATAACACTGATCAGTTAAAAAAACAAATCCATCTAAACCCTGCTATCTCTACCCTTAACATCCCCGAATACCGTATTTTCATATTTCCACAGCGTTTTGTTACGGGACGTTGATTGCTTTTTTTACCTCAGAATGGGCATGAACACTGATATGGCTCGGGACTATAGTTTAATATGGAAACGTTTGAGTTATAGGAGTAATTATAGGAGGCAATAAACTATCACACTATTTGTCTACGGCTAGTTATTATAGTTCCAGTTATCGATCGCTGACATGCTACTGTTTGTCTAAACTTATTCACTTCCAGTAATTTATTAACTAAATTTTTCCCTTTATAGTCTACAAGAATTTTTTTCTCGCGCAGTTAAGTAAAAAGGAAACCAAGTAACACAATTTCAGATAGAATGGTCTCAAACGGTTGACATTGATTCGAACATGCTTGTGTCACTAGCAAAAACAATTGCACCTACCATTCTGATGATTTTTAGGGCCCTGGTTCAATAGCAAAAGAGGGCAAAATGTTTCTGGTCTGTCTGTTTGTCATTTGTAACAAAGTTTGACCGTTCAACGAAAGTCCTCCCACCTACAGTCTCCAAAACTTCACTTGTCCAACTTGATATATGCTCTACCCGCAATACCTACACAGAGGTCAAGGTGTCAAATGTCAAGGTTACCAGGGTAAAACCTCCGATGATGTGACAGAGCCTTCGTAAATATGACACAGCCAACACGACCATTCATCAAGTGTCTATATTGTGGTATTATGCCGATTTATATACATTGATATGAGGTAGGTTCTTAATTATATCTGTAAACTTATAAACGTACCATTTTCAATCACTTCTTCCTCACTTATTAGATTACTTTCAAGTGAAAAATGTTCTTTTAATGTTTCCCTTGATGTAGATTGTTAAATTTGCAAACGTAATGTATTTGATCAAGATTATTTGAGTTGCTTCTTTGCAGCTTGGTCTTTCGATGCACAATATCAGTGTGATACGTCGGAGATTCATTTTTTGATTAAATTTGCATTGTTTAAAATAGTGTTGCATTGTTTTGGCGAAATGTACTTCGTGCTACAATCATTTAAATACTAGTATTTCATCTGGCAGAAGTTCTAGCAACTTCACAATGATTGAGGTACTTCTTATCAAAATTGCATTCAAAATGATGAGAAAAAGAATGTTCTACGTGGCAAAGCATTCTTGATTTTTTTAAAAACAAGCATGTTCTTTTAAATACAATATTTGTAGGAACTATGTGCACCTTTTCCAGCTTTGTTTTCCTCGAGGACACTTTACAACGGAAGTGTCGATGACTGTCATTTCAATAGGTCACCAAATTGTGAAAGAGACAGCGTTTAGTAGGGATGTAAAAAGAAAGGACCAAAAATGTTGCGATTGTAAGCTAACAGGAGAGCAAACACACCAGAATCGCAATTGCCAATTTGATACCGACTCCATATTATATTTAAGAAATAATTTATCCCAAACTGTGATTTTATTGCTCAATAACATCACTGTTTGGAGTTCGGATGCGGGGAATTATATCACGAGGGCGTAGCCCGAGTGATATAATGATGCGCATCCGAACGACAAACAGTGATGTTATCAAGCAATAAAATCATCGATTTGGATATATTATTTCGATTCTAACAAGACATCAACAAATAAATGCTGCCGTACATGATAATTAGCTAAATTGCGTCTGATTTGTTTCCGTACTTATTGTCAGCGCGTCACATTTTTAGTGGTTACGTCACGTGTATAATGATTACGTCACATGTCTAAATATAGAACGCCAAACAGTTATTTTATAGCATAATAAAACACACTTTCGGTTCTTCTATGTTCAATAGGGAAAAATGCGGGTCGTGTTAGAATTCGCTATAGACTTCTGATATAAAAAGGCGACATTACAGTCACATGGTAAAATGGGGGCTTCCATTTTCCACCTTTTTGACAAAAGTGATAGAGATATGTTTCTTTTAAACAGAATGAGTAACATTAATATTTTCAAATTGATAACAGTCAATTTCCGTTATAAATCAGGCATAGGCTAAGTAGTAAGTTTGCAGAAGTTGTATGAGAAGATATATGTACGGGACAATACGAGAAGAGCCGACGAGTTCCGGATAGACTAGATATCCATATTTTAGCTACTTGTGACGGAAAGTGCTAACGAGCTGCCACGACAAACAGTTGATACAACATAACACAAAATCTCATATCGCTGTGATTTATTAATTTACTATAGTCAATATGTATAAAATTAATCATAACACTCTTGGAAACACTCTCTGAATAAACAAAACACTAGTGTTATTCGATAAACAGTTAATAAATGAGAATTATGAAGCTGTGTAGCAATTATCGACAATGGCTACTTATTAATCAAAACCTGGTTTATGGAGAAACAATGTAATATGATTGTTACTGATATTTTGTTAATTGCCGGCAGATAAGTTCGCGCGCGTTTGATTTTGCCAAATTGCATGGGAGTAAGTTAATATCTAAATTCAAGCATTAATTGAATGTCTGTGACATCACCCGGATCTGACAAAGTAACTGAAAATTTAAACTTGCCTGTAACATAGGATGAGGAAAAATGGGAGGTCTGACCAAGAGTCGAACCCGGGACCCTCAGAATACCGTTCCGCAGCTCTACTAATAGCATGCTTTATATATTTGAGATTTGACACACTGAATTCTGTTCGGGTTTTCTGAATGTTTTAAAACAATACAATATGTGTTTGTTAATATTCTCAGTAAAATAAGTGTATCTTTCTCATACAACATTTTGGGTGTTTATATTTTTAGCATTTGAGAATGCTTCCCTGGCCAAATTCTATCTAGTTTTCCGTTTCAAGTGAACTTTTCTATATCTGTGATTTATAACCCATCTTTTAGCACATTAGTTTCATTTACCCTTAAAGTTTAGTGAAATTGTTAAATATAGTCTATATCTATTACTATTTATTATAATTTTAAGGCGGCTACGCACACTTTTTAAATTCGTATGCACACCAGTAATTCATCCTTATATTAGTATAAGTTATTTAGCAATAACAATTATTTCAACATTTTAGTTATATATAAACTAAATATTTTTATTTCATTACAATTAAGCCTTGTTATATTTAATTACGAAGATTTTCTTTATAAATGTGTGTAGTTTGACCATTCCTCATACAAGGGCCAACATTTTTCCTCCAGTCTAACTCTCTCTTTATTTCTAAAAATGATTTTCATTTTCTTTGTTATCAAAGTTAGTTTTTTTAATTACAGTCAACAGAAAAAATACTTAATGTATTGAACATATTTCTATTGACAGACACGCATTAAAACTTATCCAAGGAAGTTGATGAAAACGCGCCAGTCCTTGCCTGTTTTCACATCCACTGCTTTCACGATAATCTCAGTACCACTAAACGTCATAGACACGATGACCTTTCTTCCAGGCTGCTCCTCTGGTTCCGGAAGATCAAATTTCATGTTTCCAATAAGCGAACATTCAGTCGTATATCTTGGGTTACATTGTTCTGTGGCAAAAATGTCCAAAGCTACTTTACTTTGGAATTTGTGTTGTGTTACATAAGGCTTTTCAACTTGCGGTTCATTACATTTGACTACTTGTCCTTTTTCAACATGTTTGCTGAAAACTCTACATCGTACACCAGTTGCATATATAACCTTCAAATGTTCAGGGTCAGTTCCTTCTATGAATGGTTCAGTTGATTCAACACCATATGTGTATTTCAAGACTCTTTCCCGTATGGATACCGGACTATGTCCATACACTAAAGCTCCTCTAAGAATGGTCGAAGATGCACCAATTGGTATAACAATATCTTGGCCTGTAAACGCTTCTTTAATTGCATGCTGCAGCATAGGAGACTCGGAATATCCACCTACCATCAAAATTATGTTTACTTTCCTGACATTTTCATCACGAAGTAGACTTCTCACATGATTGATGGTTTTTCTGATGGAATGTTCAAACAGGCTTTTAAAGAGACTTGCAGAAATTTTAATCTTGTCTCCTGAAAACTCAATATCACTTGCATACACTGAAGCTTCAATGGCATCCAATAGCTTTCCTTTAGTGATTCTTTTAAAGGTCTTGCTGAAGGAAAGAGGAAATCTCATATTAACACGAGCATCTTTATCCGGTGCAACAGCTCGCTTTTTCACTTCAAAATCGCGCCAAAGGTCAAGCCAGTCTTCTGTCTCAGTACGTTTAAAGGTATCATAAACCTCGGGTCCAGCCAGATCAATTAACAGGTTTTCATAAGCTTTGTCAACTAGGATACCTCCCCACCCACCACCACTTGCTGATTTGATCTCTTTAACGCTGTTCTCACTGACAACCTCGTGTACCGTTATATCTACCGTTCCGCCTGCAAAAAAAATCAACATCAATACATAGATACAAATTTTAAACAGAAACCGTTTGATTAAGCAACGTTCTGTTAACTGAGTAAGCTACTTTCACAGAATAATCGAACAAGTCGGTTTTTTGGTCCATTATTAATCAGATACATAAATCAAAAGCAATAAGACGGTTAAGGTAAATTTAAGGTTAACGTCAAATCAGACTATCTTGTCACATGTGTTCTTGTGTCCAAGTATAAATAAAATCAAATCTATAAATAAATATCAAAGTTATGACAATCTTAGCTAAATTGTTTGATGATGGTTAAGGTCATTTAATGGTCACTGCCATATTTGAATAACTTAACATGTCGGTTTTGTTCCAAGTAGAACATGTATGAATTAAATCCATAAATAAATAATAAATTTTATTGAAAATTGCAGTAAAATCTGAAGTGTCAATGACAAGTTGAATTAAATCTTCTTTATTCTTATGTTCCAAGGATAATTTTACCCAAGTATGGAGACAATCCGTTCCTTACTTATGTACAAAGTTATTGCTAATAATAAAAAAAACTGTAAAATTACAGTAATTTGATCTTCAAGGTCACGGCCATTTATGAATAAAGGTCAAATTTGGTTTCAATCTCTTATAGACAGTGTCTTTAATATATGGCCATGTTGTAGTGTTGTAAAATAATTTCTGTTTCTAAAATTTGGATTTTGGAGTTACCTTAGTTGTAATTATGTAATTTGTTTTAATAGTTTGCTCATAAGTAGTGGTTTAGATAATTTTATAATTTACTATTAAACTAATAAATCTAAATAGTCGCAAGTCCTGTTTACAAGAATAAAAATCTAATACAATGTAATTCAAGATGGCTGCACTTTAAAACTAAGAATATGTATTAATTAATCTTAATTAATTCTTTAAAAGAAATTACTAAGGCCAATGTTAAAGTTTCTGGACGGCAACGACATCGGCATAGGCAACGGCAACGAGAACGACAACCTGAATGTAGCAATGTAGCAATAGCTCAAAATATTTCTTCGAAACAGACAAGCTAAATATTTTTTGACCAACAAACACTGTATATGAATTAGCATGGTCAGTTTGTTTGCTAACCCAGATCTACTATTATGTTGATTTTCAAAACTTCTCAACAGAAGGCACGCTACCTAAATCCCTACTGATGGCATGTTGAGAACTTCGGAAATCATCATAAAAAAGATGAATTAAGTATTAAAAAATGAACTTCATCATTTTGTCGAAAAAAGAGGCATTTTATGTACAACGATTGTTAAATTAAAGACCGACATCAGTGAGCAACGTTCTTAGATTTGATTCTTTTAAACAAAAGTTGTCATAAAGCCATGCACAGCCATTCAATAAAATATAAGTAACAACGAATATTGGAGACAATATGCAGGAGGACTGTAATGCAGTGCATGTACAGCGTCATATATTAACATTTAGTTTAATTATGTACTTGCTCAAAGGTAAATATAGTTCGAAGTTTCTATAAGTATTTGAATCACTATCGATTCTACTTACTAATAAGTAATTGTATCATAATATGATACATATTATGTTAAAACATTGCAATTGACTCCAGAGAGGCTCGGACCCATGATCTCTGTGTTGAGACTCGAGAACCAGTAGACCACCTCTGAACTATATTGACATGTAGTTAAACTGAAAACATTTATGAAAGGACAAATAAATGCGCCTTTGTAAAATTTTGCGGGTTGTAAACATAGTTTACATACCGTTTAAAACATGTTTGTAACTTTTGTATATAAATGTTCAAACATTAGAATTACAAGAAATTTAACAAAATTAAAACCCAACTAAAAAATCACAGTCCTATATAGAGACAAATGTGATCAAATAAAAAACATGTACCTCCTGCATCGAGAACCATGTATCTGGTACCGACAGGCATCTTCGCTATTGACAGGTTTCCGCCAGATATCGCTGTATCCACCGATAAATGGCGGCAAAATATCGATGCTGCTTCTGGCTCCAGTGCAATTGTCAACTTGTTTGTTAAAAGTCCAGCCTGGAAACAAAACAAAAAATAATATTCATACATCAACATTTTATTTTTGAATATATAATTGACGAAAATATATGTTGAGAGAAAATAAACACTTGCATAATCATAAATTTATTAAAGTAAACCGTACGGTGAGTCGGTGACTAGAACACACACACACACACACACACACACGCGCGCGCGCGCGCACACACACACACACATACACACATTTAAATAAATGAGCTTAAACTTCTACACGATAAAGAGAAAACGAATATAACCTGCACCGCGGCCTCTCTCATAAATTGTTTGGCAGCATCTGTCCATATTGCCGGAACAGTAAGTACCCAGTGGACATCATCTTTCTTAAAAGCAGATGTAAGTTTATCTTTTACACTCTTCCTCATATCTCCTACCAGATATTCGATTGCCATGACAAATACATTTAACGCTATCATCGACTTTCCCATCTCATCTTCTATTGTCATGCCGCGGTCCAGTTTCTGTAGTTTAAAGTCATTCTTTTTAAAATACCAATCGATAATTCTTAAACCATATGTTCATTAGTGCATGTATATTTGTTATCTATGTACACTATTTTAAGAAGATAAACAAATGATGTCTATTCCTTTTCCTGACATTTGTAAATCTAAATTCTGATTATGATACACAAAAGATAGAATCACATTAGAACAGTCAATCAACAGTTAGAAGTACCTACCTCACCAAGCTTTTTATTAAGTGCCATTTTAAATCTTCTGAAGTAATAATACTCTTCGTGCATTTCATTGTCTGCAAGTTCCCTGTATTTGTTTTCAGCATCATATCCAAACGCTTCAAGGGTCTTTCCATCTGACTTTATCAACAAACACGTCGGTGCTTTTTCTGTAACTAGAGTTCCACTAGAGTGCCATTGCTTGACAGACGCTTTAGTAGGATCCGCCTGAAAATCATGCAGGAAGGAGAAAGCCCAGCCAGAATAAGTTGTACCAAGATCTATCGACCCGACGAGCAAGTCCCTTGTAGCCTAAAGAAAACAAGGGAAAATGGTTATAGTATTATATTATGTTGAAATATGGTCTATTGTTAAGATATCGTTCGCCGTAAAACTAATATATAAATTAGCTAAATTAGATATAGAAATCATTTTTAAAAACCTTAATAGGAAAATAGAATCTCCGACCCGAAGAAGGGGTGCATTGGTCTAGTGGATAAGGTGTCTGCCTCTTAACCCTGGGATCATGGGTTCGAACCCTAATCGGGTGATGACCATATGTCTCTTCATATGACACCAGTACTGGTTGGTTGCAAACATTTGTTTCGCAATGTAGCTGAAATAAATATGTTTAAACCAATCACGAGGAAACAGAAAATAAAGCAATAATTTAAACAAGAAAATATAAACGTTGCTAACATGAACATCAATGTTATTGGTACAATATTATTTTACGTATTTTAAGTCAGAAAAAAGTCAAAATATTCATCAAACATAACATTAGATGTTTAGTTTGTAAGAAAATACATACCATGTCAAATGACATTATTCGCACTTTCTCTTTCAATAAACCAGGAAGATAATTGTCATAATCGTTTTCCATAAATTTACGCTATAAAATCTTGGTGTACAGCCAATATTACATTAAATCTTTGAATGTCATAAATCCAACACTCGGGTAGAAATTGTAAATAAGATTTGCCGATTTAGTTCCATTTTAAGAAATGTTTTAAAATCTACGTGCCATTATAACTACCATGTATCACTTTGTAAATAGCAACTGATAAGTCAGATAATTAATCAAACAATAGAATTGTGACATAGTTTGTACAATAGAAAATACATACCATGACAAACGGTCCTTTTATATTTGCAGTTTCTCTTCTCAAACTCACTTTAAATCAACCAGGAAGGTAAATATCATATTCGATTTCCATGAATTTACGTGTTAAAATTGGTTGTTTTTATTATATATTGGTGCACAGCCATTACGTTTTACATTATCATTTTGAAGGTAACAAATATCAGGTAGCGTTTGTAGATGATAACACTTGCCGATTTAAATAAATAGCAAACTGATTAAATATTAGAAATATATCAAACAAAGTTCTTTGCTACTTTAATTTTACCTTGTGATTTAAAGTTTACACGTCAAGTCTACAAAATTCCATGTCTTTCCGATAATGGGTAAATATACTCCGCCTTAACAGCGTTGCGAATATCGTGATACTTCGCAAGAGAACCTACGATTAGTTTGCGATGAACAACACTGTTTTGGCAGTCCAGTCGAGTTCAATGTCACTTCGGGAAGAAGCAACAGCGTATAAAGTCAGCCAATCGGCTTGGTTTGACAAAGTCAGTAATAGAACTTCGTTGGCTCCAACATCGAGAACTATTCTTACTGCAGCTAAGGAACAAAAATGTGTTGAGTTGACAAAACACATTGGTCGTATTGGCTTTGGACTAACCAAAAAAAAATTGCTGGGCATGGTTAAATAGATAATGGATGATGATGGTCGCAAAACCTCTATACCGAAAACAGACAAAAACAAAGATTGGTGGTAGGCATTTATTAAGCGACATCCCGAAATTACTGAGTACACGCCACAGCAACTTGGAAAGGACCGTTATTACTCTATCAAAGGTTCAGAAGTGGTTTAAAGATACTGTAACACAATTTTCTATGGTTTTGTATCATAAATATGATACTCAAATGAAAATTTATCAATTTTGTAAGTTCCAAAAAGCATTATTTATAAAGATATTACAGAATTTAACATTTCATGTAAATAAAGGGAGGAAATCAAGTCAAATTGTTCAATAAGAAATGAAAGCATATATGTAATGATTACATATAATATGTACAATTATTTGCATTACATATTTTAGATATTCTTCGATGTTTGAAAATTGTCTTCAAATCGCCACCCGGGTCTGTAAATACTATGCAGACCTATTCCTCGTACGGTAACTATTACATATATCCAAGATATATTTATTAAACACTCAATACATCAATGGTGTCATGTAGCAACTGCATCGATGCATACATTTGCATACATCGGCGATTCAGTTACGGGTGACAGGTTAGTATGATTGTATTGTTAGTAAATAGTTAACATGAAATGTAAGGTGGATAACGGGATTTGAGATCATGGAGTAAGATGGATTGTAATTAATGAAATGGACTGTATATAAAAACGACACATCATATAATTTTAATTGTTTTATTGATAAGTTTCAATAATGGTGGCACAGCTCCCGAAGATTAATAACAAATCACAAAGACACTTACTATATAATAAGAACTCTTTGACACTTCGACTTTATAAATCGTGATATAATGTTATATAAGTTACTTCTGAACGGAGTTGACGGAAAAGTGTATACCTCTATCTAAAGCATATACAGTTATTCACTCTCTTGTGTTCGTATAAATGGAAAAATATAGACTGGCTTAACTGTTTCACGGGCGTGAAACAGGGAGATAACTTGTCCACGACAATCTTCTCGATCTTTATCAATGACCTGGTGACACAGATAAACGACCTTGACATTGGCTTTGATGTCGGTGATAAAAAAGTGTCAGCTTTATTATATGCGGACGATATCGCCCTTTTTGCAAGATCTGAAAATGACCTACAACTCCTATTAAACGTGGTGACTCAGTGCCGTCAGTGGTGCAGAAAATGGAGAGTCTTAATCAATACTGATAAATCAAAATCAAGAACCTTTGAAAGAAACTATGACTTTACTATCGAATATAGTGTTTTAGAAAAAGTTAAAACTTATAAATACTTAGGAGTAACATTTCATTGTTATAAGGACTTTTCCGTTAATTCACAGACGTTGGCTAAAAGGTGTGGGCGTGCACTGGGAAAAATAATATCAAAAATACACGGAATTAAAGACTTTGGATTTCAAACGTTTGAAAAAATGTATAATGCATGCGCTATGCCTGTCATAGGGTATAGGGTAGTAATCGTTAATAAATAAAATATGAATAAATACTGGTTGTTGTTTTCAATCTTTAATCCTTAAACACAAATTTGGTCTCATATTATGTTCTCTACGCCAGTAAATCAATAACTTAAAGTCCCGTTATCCCATTATTATATTCCTATAGTAACATGTACTAACCGTTTAAAGTGTTTATACAAAGTGATATTTACGGGTACGGTAATGCATCATTGCATTCCGTCACTGTTCTCACTTTGTGTAGACGCATTTATATATTATATATAATAAATTATCTGTGATAATGTTATATTGTTTTCAGGTTAGTGATGTTATATCTTCCTAGTTTTTCATATGGTTCAGTTGTAATTGTTTTCTAAAATGTTGTTATTAATAAAATGGTAATTAATCTTTGGAAATAAGTAGAATACAATACCCTAAATATTTATAGACCTGTACTGTATACATGTATGTCTTTTGTTGTTATTTGTTTACATGTTTTATGTTTAGGACGGTAATGCATCATTGCATTCCGTCACTGTTCTCACTTTGTGTAGACGCATTTATAGATAAATTATCTATGATAATATTATATTGTTTTCAGTTTCTTATGCCAATTAGAATCCATGAAGCTACCAAATATTTGAACGAAGGGCATGAGCTAGCTTATGACCGGCAGCGCAGCCCTACGTCATGCACATACTAGATTATTCGGCTGCAGTATGGGAATTTAAACACAGTTATGTGATCGAAAGTGTTCAGAATAGAGCAGTACGTTACTTTCTCGGAGTACATAGATTCGCCCCAATACATGCAATAACTGGAGATACCGCATGGTTACCTTGTGAAAAAAGGCGTTGGATCTGTATAATCCGTTATTGGAATAGACTTTTATCAATGAATGATAGTAGACTAACTAAACAAGCTTTTTACATGGATTATGAAAACTGTACAAATAAGTGGTGTAGTGATTTTAAAGAACTGTTAAACAAACTAGAATTGAGTGAATACTTTGACAAAAAACGCCTATTTACCTGGACATATGTAAATCAAAAATAGAATAATACTATTCTAATCTATTGGCACAACAACTTTTACTGTTAGAAAATTACGAACATATGTTACATTTAAAACAACCTTTACGCAAGAAAAATATGTGCAATTAAATCTTGATAGAAATGAACGTTCACTGGTCGCGCAAATTCGCATAGGTATACTTCCATTAAGGATTGAGACAGGTCGATATGTTGGCGAAGAACTAGAGCGTAGAATATGTACATTGTGCGATATGAACACTGTTGAGGATGAAAAACATTTCCTACTTGAATGTAAATTATATGATGAAATTAGACTCTTTATTTTGCAACCAATGGTTGGATAGTCAGTTTACCTCGTTAAATACCACTGATAAATTAAGGACATTGCTTAACCTACAATCACGCAAAGTTGTTAAATATCTAGTGAAAGCTTATCATAAAAGAAGGACTTATATTTATAATAAGTAGTTCACACAATCCTTAAAATTAATGCATGTATTAGAAGGTATTGATTCAGAGATTGTGTTTCATCATTCACGTACTAAAGCTCTCTGTATTATCAACCTGTAAAAATATATATCTCACTTCAAGACGTGTATATAATTGTATAAATGTGATATGTGACATATAGGCACATTGGGCCGGTTGTTCTGATAATTCTCCTCATTATTGTATTGTTTACAACACATGTCACTTTAATAAACAATTTACTTACTCATTTACTTATAACAACACTGAAGTTAAAAATATAAAATATATGACTGAAGTGAAGTACGGGAGTTTTACACTAAAAAGCAAGCTTAAGAGAGGATTGTCTACAACTTTTGAGCACATTTCGAAAAGTGGTTCACATATAAACAAAAATAAAAGGATCGTATCAATTGGATTCTCATATGCAATATTTCTTGACAAAAAATGTTGGTAGGTTTTTAAGTGATTTAGTATGAACATTATATGATGAACAATAATATTTTGTTCTAGAATATTTTATTTTCTGCTATATATAGATATGTAATGTTTGATCATGTATATCACACTTTACAAAACCAGTTATATATAATTCTGGCGTGGTTTGTTGTCATGTATAATACTAAAAAATATCAACATGATAATTTTATATAACATGCTTTTCATTACCATTATGGACTAATTCACTTTATAATTCTTAATATAATTTCCAATGCACATGCTAGTTATTCGATTTCCAACATAACTGCATTTTAGACACCTGTTTGCTAATCCCTTGTGGTTTTTACTGTAATTTACATCCTATTTTCACCATATGTGATTACTCCCGTGGTGTCGTCTGCTGTTTACGATTATCGTCTGCGTCACTAAAAATCTATCTATCGAAATGCAACACAAATCTATTTTGGAACCCCTGAACTTGATCTTCTGTTACTCAGTCCAACGGACGTATACCATGCCAGAAATATTTCCAGAAAATATTTAAAAAAATCTATCTATAAATAAAGACTGAATGGGCAAAAGTGTAAATATATATTTCTAGTACTGTTGACCTTGACTTAATTGCCCCTACCCTAACCGACTTCTAAATTTATGTTCCTATCAAACATAAAAGACATATGTCAATAGAAAAAGGTTACACCTGTTAACGTGTAAAAATCACTTTAAGGATTGTAGACCTTGATTCAACTGACCCCTTACTCAATCCAAAGGAAGAAGATTACGCAATTTATCATCTTACCAAATATGATAAACATCATAAAGGCTGGGTCAGCAAAGTGTAGAAATCTATTATTTACACCGTCTGACCCCTAACGTAATCCAAAGGAAGACAAGAAAAGCATTGATGCAAAGCATCAAAGGGCGTCCAAGCAAGAAATGCAGCAAGTGAAGATGAACTAGTACACATATGATGACAAGATATTCTTATAAACTACCAGAAATGTATATCACTTATAAATGAGCGGACGAAAGACATTGTTCATCATGAACTTTGATTGGCATGCTAGAGATTAGAATTTTACTTGTAATTTCTTTATGATCGTGGTTATTAATAGCAACGGATATACATGTATGCAATAATTTATAATCCATATGTGTAACGCATGATCGACACGTACCACAACTTTGTAATTGTCTCTTA